GAGGAAGAGGAAAACAAAACATGCAATCAACAGAGAAGAAAGCAACACTGAAATTGCTACCAAGCCCAAATGGAAAAATTGTAGGGGATTCGATTGATGACAGGGGATTCGATTGATGACAGCGGAATCCAGAATTGCAACAGATCTTTGAAGAAAAAGATGCAAAATCAATTGGCGAAAGAGATATGGGAGCTTGCGAAGTAACTGGGAACAGTAACAGAGGATGAGGATGACATAATTGAAAGGATTGAGGAGATGGAGAATAGAGATACACTAGCAAAAACAACCATGACAAACCAAGGTGTGAATGGCCAAAAGAAGGTACGTGAAGATCTCAATGATAATATTGTTTTTTAATATAAGAGGACTTGGAGGAATCAGGAAAAAAAGACAGATTAGAGAACTAGTTATGAAAGAAAAAGTAGAATTTTTGGTAATTTAGGAGACTAAGATGGAGATAGTTAATAGAGGTGTATGTAGACAAATCTAGGGGATAGAGGATCTGGATTAGGTCTCAAAACAATCTATTGGCATGTTTGGTGGATTATTGTGTGTTTGGAATTCTAAAGTGTTTACTAAGATGGAGGTATTGGAGGGGGATAATTTTATTGGAGTGTTTGGAGCATGGGGTGAGGAGAAAACACCAGTGTACATAGTGAATATATATTCTTCTTGCCAGCTGATGGGCAAGAGAGCTTTATGGGAGGACTTGCGAAGATTGATCACTAGTCGAAAGGGGAATTGGTGTTTGGCAGGGGATTTTAATGCCGTGAGAAGAGTAGAGGAACGAGCAGGGAGTATAGGAATAACCAGAGAAATGAGGGAGTTTGATGAATTTATACATAACACTACACTGATTGACTTGCCTTTAGTGGGTAGAAATACACTTGGTACAATTCCAATGGACAGTATATGAGCAGGATTGATAGATTTCTGTTATTAGAAGAGTGGTTTACAAAATGGAGTGATGTAAAACAATGGCGGCTAAAGAGAACAGTGTTGGATCATTGCCCTTTATTATTAAAGAATGAGATGGTAGATTGGGGCCCAAAACCATTTAAATTCTTTGACGCTTGGCTTGAACAAACAGGGTGCAATGAGGTAATAAGAGATACATGGAACTCCATGAAAGTAAATGGGTGGAATGGCTATAAGCTTAAGGAAAAATTGAAAAGAACAAAGAAAGCCTTTAAGGAGTGGAGTAGTAAATCGATTACAGAAGTGGACAGCAAAATAAAGGAAGCTGAAACTGTGATTACGACAGTGGATGAGAAAGGGGAGAATAACCAGCTGTCTGAAAATGATGTTGAGAAGAGGAGAAGCAGGTTCCTTGATTTGTGGAAAAATATAAGAATCAAGGAAAGGATGTGGCAAGAAAAGTTGAGGAAGATGTGGTGAAAAGAAGGCAATGCAAACACAAAGTTCTTTCATAGATGTGTGAAAGGAAGATGGAGAAGAAATGAAATGAATTCTATCCAAATTAAAGGTAAACAGCACACTGGTGTGACGGAGTTAAAGAAGAAGTTGCTAAGTATTTCCAAGAATTGTTCACAGAAGAAAATTGGTGGAGACCAAAATTGGATGGGATTAATTTTAAACAAGTATCACACACATATAATGAGCACCTCACAACTGTATTCTCCGAAGAAGAAATTAAAGAAGCAATCTGGGATTGTGACTCGTTCAAAGCTCTAGGCCCAGACGAATTCAATTTCAAATTCATAAAGGCAATGTGGGAAGACATAAAATTTGATGTTATTGACTTGGTACAAGAATTTCATAAACATGGTAGGCTCGTTAGAGGATCAAATGCCTCCTTCATTGTTTTAATTCCAAAGGTTGAAAACCCTCAAAGAATTGAAGAATACAGACCCATCTCACTCATTGGGGTCATGTATAAGATCATTACAAAACTGTTAGCAAACCGGATGAAGACGGTGTTATCCAAGGTAAT